CACACACACACACACACAGAGAGAGAGAGAGAGAGAGTCCACCGCTTCTTCTTCTTTTTTTTCTTCCTCCAGTGGTCCTGTCTGTTTTTATGAAAATGAGCAATATTGAAAGGGTTTCCATTCCGCTAGCTGCAAGCCTCACATAAATGATGAAAATGGCTCGGAGGGATTTTTTTTTTCAAGTGAACTGTGTGGATCTGTGAAAATAATATCAGAGTTTTCCGTCAGACTGAACCGAGACGCCTAACCAGGCGTGCTTTAATCTGACCCGACATCTCTAAACCATCTGCGCTATGTATCCGCCGTCTGATTTACCAAATCTTCCCGAGAAAAAGTCACCGTGTACTTGATACTAAAGAAAAGGCAGTGGAAGTCTTTCTCTCTCTTTTTTTTAAACCTCCACCCTCGCTCGCTCTCTATTCCTTCTCGCCTCCCTCCCTCCCGAGAAAGATGGTTGTATAAAAAATGAAATATGGTCTATTTCACTTCATGCGGCAAAATGATCTTCATTAAAAACGAGGGAGGGGGACCCTATACCCCAGATTAAGAGTGCATTCATTCTGACAGCGAAGGGCAGTATGGACGAGAAAGCGATAATAAGAAGCAAGATGATCTTGGGGAAAATTGGGCTGATCTTTGAAAGGCCTTAATTTAATTCCAAATGTTTGGTTTTCGTTTTCCTCTGGGTTTGTTTGTTTTTCTGAGCGGGGGGGGCAACAAAACTTGAGAGGGTGATGAGGAAAAAAAAATAACAACCGCCTAGGTAGGAAAAATATTGTATGTTAGAGTCGATTGTTCTCCCGCCGCCGCCCCCTCCAATAACACGATAGGTGTTACTGTTGTTGCTAATTCTTAGGGGAGGGAAAATGGGTTTTTAAAATGCATTTTTAATGTAACTATATTAATAGGCAACACGCGGTAAATGGATTTTTAAAGCGGGAGGAGGTAGGCGTAGGGAATTGTGGGATATTTGGGGTGGAAAAGTCAAAAATTATGAGTCGGAGGTGATCAATAATGTAAAAGACTCCTTTAAGTTGACTGTCCTGACCTATAAATGACTTCGCACTTCTTCCACGGGTTTTCTGGGTGTTTATTCAAGGCTGCTCAAGCGAAAACAATGAGGTTTAAAATGGGGTGTTTGTGGGGCGGGGGGGAAGGAGAGAGAGAATCAAAGAAGTAAATGAAGGAAGAGATAGCGAGGGAGGAACGAATAGTAAAAGGTCTGGTCCCTCCGGATGCCGGGCGGTATGAGAGGAACGGGTCGTTTCCTTTTCTTTCTTCAGCAATGTAAAATTATTTTAATAATGACAATAATAACCTTAGAACTGCAGAGCTGGAAGGCTCCCAATGGATCGAGTCCAACCCCTGTCAAGGAGGCACCGCAGGGAATCGAACTCCCAACCTCTGGCTCCAGCAGTGCAAGCAAGCAAGCAAGCAGATAAAATTTGCAGGACTACAAAAGCGCTACCGTCTTCCCCAGTCTGGTGGTCTCCAGATACGTCTGGACACTTGTTCTACCCCACCCACATAACCAAATGTCATATGAGGGGTGAGGCGGGCGATGATGGGGAGTCCAGACCAACCCATCCGGAGAGCCCTTGGCAGGACCGGGGCTGAAGGAAGCTGAGAAGAGTAATCTAGTCTAACAGGTCCCGACGCACACTTGCAAGTCCCCACTCACCCATGCCCCTCTGTAATAGCAGGGTTTGAGGTTTCTCTGAACTCAGCGTCTGGACAAGTCACTCTATGGACCACAACCCCCAGTACTCCCCACCAGCCATTCTGGCCAGGGGGATTCTGGGAGCTGTAGTTCCAAACGTAACACTTAGACATTGGGAGTCGACGTGTGTGTTTGTTTTCCTGGTGTCAATCGTCGGTCACCTCTTCGCCTAAGCCATTCCCCAAAAGCTTCAGGAGGTCCTTTTGAACCCCTTGCAGACTCAGCCCTGTGCTCGTTTCCTCCGAGGGAAGCCCCGTGGGTGTGATGGAGAGATTCCGTAAAGGAAGCCGCAGCTTGTAGTTTTCAAGAGCCGAGCCATGACAGGACCGTTTTAGTGGCCACTAATTCATAGGGTCGCCCTAAAGAGCCGCCTTAACGCATTTTAATGAGAAAGGACGGGTAAAAATATTGTAAATACATAAATATAAATAAGCCAGAAGCAGCGATAAGCCGGAGTAGTGGCATGTTCACTATATGGGCCGGTTGAAAGAAAGAAAGAAAGAAAGAAAGAAAGAAAGAAAGAAAGAAAGAAAGAAAGAAAGAGACAGCGCATCAAAACGAAAACACCATGACAAGCCCCTTAAGTTTACTCCTGGGTAAGGACTGTAAACAGGAGAGAAGTCTAGAGAAAAGGCACCCGAGGAGGGGGTACATGACTGAGACCTATGAAATGATGCAAGGGATGGATAAAGTGCATAGAAGGAACCTCTTTTCCCTCTCACGCAATACCAGAACCGGGGCATCCGCTCACATTGAGTGTTGGGAGAGTGAAAACAGACAAAAGAAACGATTTCTTGGCCCAGCGTGTTGTTAGTCTGTGGAACTCCTTGCCACAGGATGTGGTGATGTCATCTGGCCTAGATGCCTTTAAAAGGGGATTGGACAGATTTCTGGAGTGAAAGTCCATCGCAGGCTACGAGCCCTGATGGGGAGGTATAATCTCCAGGCTTAAAAGGAAGGTAGTTCAAAATGCCAGATGTAGAGGAGGGTATCAGGAGACAGGGATCTCGTGGTCTCGTGTGCTCTCAGAGGCCTCTGGTGGGGCCACTGTGAGATACAAGAAGCTGGACTAGATGCGCCCTTAGCCTCATCCAGCAGAGCTCTTCGGATGTCCTTGTGTTCAGGGAAGATTTCAGAAGGATTGTCCTCTTCCTACCTGGCACTAAGGATGTGTACATGTGGGCATCCAAAAGAGCGATGCTAATCTAAGGTGGGGGATACAATTCCTGGCAGAATACAAAGTCCCCGGTACCCTGAAACCCAAATCGAAAGGTTCATGTAGTGGGTAGTGGAAAGCAACTTTCTCCGCTTGGAGCTCTGGAAAACGGCTACTCGTCCAAGGAAACAAGACTCGTCTACGTGCAGGCGGCGACGCCGGGGGCTTTGGTTCGGTTGAAGACAGCATCCGAGTGAGCAAGCCAGCAAGCCGGCTGCCCTGTCGCTTATTCTCCGACCAGACTTCAGACAAGATTTCCTCTTTATTGTCTCAGTAGGCTGAGGTTCTTAAGTTGACTCCCCCTTTTAAAAAATTAATAAATAAATGAAAAGCTTCTTTTTCCAAACCAAGAAGCAGATTTTTATCCCGGAGTGCATTCGACGAGAATGTCCCGGAGAAAATGCAGATGGGAAGACTCAATGTCGTCTTCCCCCCCTTCTCTTTTCTTCTTTCTTTTCCTTCCTTCCTTCTTTTCCTCCCTCCCTCCCTGCCTCCTTCCTTTCCTTCTTTCCTTCTTTTCCTTCATTCCACCCTCCCTCCCTCCTTTCTTTTCCTTCCTTCCTTGCTCCCTCCCTCCCTTCTCTTTTCCTCCCTTTCTTTTCCTTCCTCTCTGCCTCCATCCTTTCCTTCCTTTCTTCTTTTCCTTCCTTCCTCCCTCTCTCCCTTCGTTCCCCCTCCCTCCCTCCCTCCCTCCCTCCCTCCTTTCTTT